TAAAATTGTCTTTTTATCATTCATCAAATATAGCAGGAAACATGCATTATGTACTTTGGAGGGGACTCTGACAGAGGATACTCACAAAGTACACAGTCAAAGTACTTCATTTTATTTCTGGTAGAAGTCAAACTAGAACCGAGTCCAACAGTGTCAGTTTCCTTAAGAACTTGTGGTAACAAATATTTGTATCACACAAAAAAACGAGTTTGAACCTTTACTGCATCCCATGTGAGGCTGTGCAGCTGAAACGAACGGGTTAAATGGGACATCTTTTCATCCTCACACAGATGTAGTTCCATCTGTTTTACACCAGGGGGGGCCCTTGCTTATAATCAAATATTTACAACTGAAGCAGAAATCTCTCGATAGTTTCCAAAAAAAGGAAAAGCCCAGACGGCACGTGGCCAAGTTTCCTCCCTACGTCCTTTCTCCTGATGGAACGGAAAGACTAAATATGAGTTTCACATGATTTCCCAGAGGTTAGAAGAGGAGAGGATCTGCTCCCATGTGCCTCTGGAGTTTCTCCTAAGTGCAGTAAAACCCATCAAGGAGGAGAATATTTCTCTCTTCTGCTTCCAGGAGAGTTTCCGACCTCCTGTGACCCCCATTATTGTCTCAACGGGGCCCCTTTCAAAGCAAAGGCATCGTAATGGGGTCGTATACATGATAGCGTGTGGAATACTTAGACTTGTTGAGGCTGGAAAAAAGAATGATCTCCCAAAAGGACGTCCTCTGCTTTAAGGACTGTCACACTTCAGGTGATACATTGCAAAATAAAAGCAGCCTCGGAGGTCGAAAGCTTCAAAGAAAAGCTCCGAATGTAAGAAAGTGTGTGTTCAAGTGTGTGTGTCCATGTGTGTGTAAGTGCTGGAGTTTCTTTGGGTAGTTTGTGTCCATTTGGAAACAGAAGCAGCAGCCCCCGCGGCCCTTGAATTGATTCACCAGGTTGGTGGTTCCTCCATTTCTGACGTCCTGTCCCTTCCCCCTCTTCACGGTCAAGCCTTGACCTCGAGTCTCGGCTTCACAATATTTTACAATGATATTCTTCACTCCAATACTAACAGATGAACTGGTTGGCGGTCTAGGAAAAAACACTTGGTTAAATATTGTGTCATTTATTTTAGATATTTCAGATTACCGTTAGATTAACTTCCCTTCAGCATGAACAAATTAAGAGTTAGACTCGCTGTTGACACATTTTAGTTTCAGTTTAGGCAAGCGTTTTCAAGATAATAGTCTCTAAAAATGGGGGAAATAGTACAAGGCTGGAAAAACTGGATTGTCACATTGAGTGTCAACACCTCAATACAACATTTAGTTTTGAGTATTGATACTAGCATCAGTTGGATAAATGGCGATAAGAGAAGTGTTTTACGGTATCTGTTTCATAGAACTTGGTAGCTAGATGAATAAGAAAATGTCAAAATAGTACTTCTTAAATGATAAGATTATTTACAGATTAGTAGAAAAAAGCTTGAAAGATATATGGAGTAGTTTATTTACATTACATCCTACCATAAATCAAGATGAATCTTTTCTTGCTTTCGGTTGTGTTACCCCGGTTCTACAGATGATTTGCGTCTAAAAGCATTAATCTCTGGACGTTAGCTAAACTTACAGCTACTTTTATTTTCTTTGTTAAAAATTGGTGCATTATAGCAAGCTAGATTTTCAGATAGGCAACTTTTTACTCGTGTTGGATTTTAGATTTTGTTTGAAAACCCCAACCTGAAGAAAATCATTTTAAAATATTCTCTAAATAATACCCTGTCGTCCCTCGTGTACATGGAATCTGTTTGTCCGTTGCCCCAAGTTGTTGTTAACAACTTTTCATGTACACGTGATGCATGATATCCTCGTGTCCGTGACCAAAAATCAGAGGTTCTTAAATGATTAAAGTCCAGACCCTCAAGGGAAACAAAACCATTTACAAATCTGGGATCTGGAGCTGAAGTAGTTTAAGAACCTTTGGTGCAGTTTTTTTGGAAAACGTGAAAAAAGATTTACACGCCTCTTTATTGACGCTGTGTATTCTTTTATGAGGTTTGCAATGGAGACGATGAGAGAAACTTTTCCCCATTGTATAATCAATATTTGAGAGTTTTATAAAATGTGTGTTTTTGTCAATTCAACATCTTGAGTTGGATTGAGGTCATGGACGGTCTAAAGGATGCCAGCCGGTCCATGTTGTCGTTAGTTGGCCAGAAGCAAAACTTTTCATTATTTACGGAGAAGCTGGTGAATTAAAAACACATATATTGTTGGTATCTTTCTGTTAAAGTATCTGAATGGAAGCAACGAAAGGCCATGATAGTAGAAATGTTTGTTTTCCAGACACAACTTTTAAGTTTTGAACCATCAAACATTTTATACATTTAAGGGATCAAGAAACTTAGATTGTCCAATATGTTAACAAACATCACGATGATCATTTTTGGATCTCAAAAGTGTTAATCCAAAATATCATTGTTAGAAACAAACAATGCCTTTAAGTCAAGATTGCTTTTTGTTTGTAAACTAGATTCCTTTTTTTGTCACAATTTCTAACAATAATCCAATCTAAGCAATTTAACTTGAATATTCAGGTCTGAAAATAAACCACTTCTTACTAAGCATATTGGAAACCATTGCATTTTTGATTTTAGACACTTGATTATTATCTTTCTTGAAATTGAAATTGGCCTTTTTTCAGCTTCCGTAGACTTTGTCAGTCAAACTTCACCAGAGTCTGAGTCTTCCCGCCATGTTTGTGTTTCCTAGTGAATGTTCTCAACAGTAGATGGTAATGTTGTGTTGTCTTTTTGCTTGAGTTGTTGATGGCTGCCGGCCACACAAACTCAAACGGAGGTCATTTTTTGTGTGTGTCCAAAATGGCTTCCCTAACATCTGTAGTTTAGTTTGTCTTTGTGTTGTTTGTGCCAACAGTGAACTTTTCAAACTTCATCCTGGAAGTGTTGACTGTTGGAGAAATCCTTTTATTCTTCACATTACAATACATCCACCGCCTGAAGCTGCTGGATTAACTCTGTTTACCTTTTCTCTTCACAGTGAACCCTCCGTCAGACTTGAGGTTTAGGATTTTGAATGAGAAAACAGTGCAAATGATTTGGAGTAAACCACAGTCGAGGATACAGGGCTACAGAATACAAGTGACGTCAGACACAGGTGGGTGCTCATTAAACCTGTGAGTTATGTCCTGCCCAGCCCACAACATTACAAGTGCCATAAACTTTTTTAGACATCAGTCTGCCCGGCAAGACTCAACACTCCCCGCAATTATCTGAAGATTTCTGCACACACATGTTTCCCTCCAGGACATCTCTAATGATTTAAAAAAAAAAAGGTAAAACATTATCTCTGCAATGGAAAGTTGTCAGCATTAGTTTAACTCCGGAGCGTAGCTGTCACGTCAGTCAGAGTTAATTAAACAGGGAGATTATCTTTGAAAAACAGCTTACAGTCATATCAGATCTGCCCTTCAATCAGCATGAGTTTAAATAAGGAGAACATCTAAATACCACAGAGTACAAAAATACTTCAGACAATTAGTTTAGGCATCTAACCTGCAGCAGTTTTGGAAAGGCATTCTCTTTCAACTTGACAATGCTCCCATAAAGAAGCAAAGGCTCCTGCTTTAAAAAGCTGTTGGTACGTTCAAACTTAGGCAAGCTCTAAGGACTTATACCAACCCAGTCTCACTGCATTTCGTGTTATGGTCACAAAATTAATCTATTGAATCGTGTTCACCAACAGGATTTCGCCATTCGTGTCACACAGAACGATTTAAAAAGCAATGTAAATAATAACAAATTAGAAGGAAAACTGTTAAAAAAAAAAAAATGTCAGTATTTTGACACAGAACGATTTTAGAAGCAATGTATTTCTATTGGTAGTATGTTTCGTGCATGCACCAAAGAATAGCAAATAAGAAGGAAAAAATATGACAAAAAATACAGATTTCAGTATTCTGAGGCTCTGAGATTTCTCTGCAAAAATACTCCGACATTATACAATTTAAAATAAAAGGGATAGGGTTAGGCTTAGGGTAAGATATTGAGTAAGAACATGAACCACAAAGCTTCTGGTCTTCCAAGACCCGACCGGACAAAAAGACGTGGTGCAGGCACGAAACATACCACCAATAAATATACATTGCCTTTAAAATCATTCTGTGTGACACGAAAAAAAATGTGAAAATCGTGTTGGTGAACATGAATCAATAGATTACATTAATTTGGTGACTATAAAACGAAATGCTGTGAGACTGGGTTGCTTATGTGTATTACATGGAGCTTTACATGTCAGACAAACTCTGACATAAAAATGATTTGCCACTAATATATAACCTTCTCCTCGTAACTGTTGGTTTAATTGTTACCTGCTGTTAGCCAACTAAACTAGCTAACTGTCAGAACGTTAGCTTTAATATTTAATTTAATATACATTTAAATACATTCAATAACTCCTGGCTGAAGCATCAGTTTTATGGCTTGTTAACCAACATATCTAACATCAACTTTCTTTCTGTTATGTAATGTTAGCTAACTTAATTAGCTTACTAACAGAGCTAACGGTAGCTTGAATATTAATATTCAATAACGGTCCGATGTACCTGTAATTTGAGCTGCTGTTGTTAGCTAACTTAACTATCTAACTGACAAAACTGCTGATTTAAGATGAAATAATAACATTTAAAACGTCCATGTGTATCCGTTTAGCCTACACACTGACTCTAATCTAACCTATCTAGCTAACTGATAAAACTAAAGCTTACACTTTATCATTCAGTAACTCTCAAAGGTAAGTATTTCAGTCAAGTAAAAAAGCTATCTGACAGAACTAGCACTAGCTTTTATGAAACTGCAAGTTGTAATGTCTATGTTACTTAGCTTAATTATATTTAGCTAACAGATCTGACGTATAGCTTGTAGTCATTCATAAACTGCCACATGTAAGGGTAATGGTGCGTAGCCTACTGTTAGCTAACTAAACAAGCTAAGTCATATAACTAAAGTTAACTTACATTAGCTTACATTTGAAAATTCAGTAACAATCAATGTTTTAGCTGACTGACAGATCACAGACTAGGTTTTATGAAACTGCAAATTGTAATGGCTAGTTACTTTTAGCTAACTAAACTTAGCTTACTAAAACTAAACTGACAGATCTGACGTTAGCTTGTACATTGTCATTCAAAAACGGTTGTGGTGTGTACTGTAAGCTAACTTAACAAGCTAAGTAATATAACTAACATTAGCTTCAATTCGATAACTGCTAGGTGTAACCGTTACGTGCTGTTTCGCACTTTTAAGATTTTTTAGGAGACACATACTCTATGCTTGTAAAAGTAATATAGTGTATTTCAATTAAAAAATAATTTAGCTTAACATTAAGTGAGGGTTTAGGTAGTTATTTTAATTCATTTTGTAGAAAGTTAATGGGTTTAACACAGTAATAATCCTGTAGCCTACAATAGGCATTAAACATTTATTTACTAGAAAAGTAAGCATATCAACTCATAAAACAGGCCTTCACTCAATAGAACAATTGGGTATTTAAGAGTTAAAATGACGTGTTTTGATTCAGTCATTGAGTGATGCGGAAAGATTTCATTAAATTGAATCTTTTGTTGTGTGTTTACACAACTCTTTCTTGTTCTCAGGTCAACAGTTTGAATCAGGTTTTATGTAACCCTGACTCTTAGAGAAATTAAGTAATGCAATAGTTTCCCTAATGGATTCCCTCTGACTTTGTGCATTTTTGTAGAAGAACCAATGAGAGAATTTAGTCTGCCTGCATCTGCGTCTAAGACCTCCATCTCAGACCTGAGTCCAGATGTGGATTATACCGTAACGATATCGGCGTACGCTGGATCAGAGGAGAGTCTGCCCATCTCCGGCCAAATTACACGTGAGTCACAGAGTGTGTGTGTGTGTGTGTGTGTGTGTGTGTGTGTGTGTGTGTGTGTGTGTGTGTGTGTGTGTGTGTGTGTGTGTGTGTGTGTGTGTGTGTGTGTGGTTAAAGTAGCTCCAGACTTTCAACCAAATGCCTGGAAAATGTGTCAGCAGCTGGTCTGTTTTAGCAGCAAGTCACAATGACCTGGTTCACCAAACGGACTGGTAAAACTCCCAATACACTGAGTGGACAGAATAACATTAACAGTGCATTTTTCCAGAAACCCTGAAAGGCAAATGCAAAAAAAACATTTTTGGTGATGCATTTTCTTAATCTGATCTAGTCTGTGTTTATACATTTAAAACACTTTTGCAACGATAGTCTTTCTAAGGATTTATTAAGATCCCCTCCACCTTAAAAATGTGTGGCTGAAAGTGACCAAGAACCTGCCAAAACGCTCAAAGTATTCCAGATGTGGTGCATTACCTTTCTGAAACTGTTTAGAGACACATCAAATCCCTATAACTTAATTTAAGCGGCTCAATCCAGTCAAATAAAACATTCAAATGTCATTATACATAATTAATATGTGGTGTATTTGTTTACCAAGACGTACGCCAAATAGACTGACATAGTTTCAACAACCGCAAGTGAATTCTTGGATGACATTTTAAAGACTAAATATGATTAGTAGCTTGTTAGAAAAATAGATTTATTGTCTTCAATGTGGGAAAATTATTTGGCTTCTATTAGGAATTAAAAACACAATAAAACAGCTGGAAACAGACATGAGGAGCAAGACTCAAAGGCTGTTTAAAAAAAAAAACGTTATAAAATGCAGATGTGATTTGGTGCACTAGTTGGATCACTGATTCTCAACATGTGAGTTCTCAAGATAACCATGATAGGTCACAAGGTAAGTGAAAATGTATGCAACAGAATTATATGCTTTATTCTTGTAAAAATGCATTTCTTTCGTTGATTGAACTGGTTCCAATTAATGTCCAAACAAAGGTCTATACCAGGGGTGCCCAACCTTTTTTGAACCAAGAGCTACTTTTAAAGTTGCCAGTCTGCCGAGATCTACCAGTCCAAATAGAGAGGGGGGGGATAGTGAATTGTCAACTGGGGGGGAGCCTCTCTGTGGTGAAACGGCGGACCTCTGTCGATGCAACTTCAATGATGCCTTTTTAAAAACTCGTTGGCGAATCGAGCCTGCCCTTGACGACCGGCTGTTCTGTGATTCTCCAGATGGCCAGTTCGTGGAGGGTGGAAAATACATACCGGAAGTAAACAAAGACGTGCAACGGGAAGGTGTTCCCAGGTGTTTAACAAAAGTTAAAATATTAAATGAAACAATCTCATCTCTTAAAATTCACAACTTATTATGAATTAAACATTCACAAACTTATAATTATGTATTCACATGTTTAACTCTGTTACATGTGCACGCAACGAACAGCGTAGGGCAGAATTAGGAGGGAATTCTGTGTCGTAGTGTTTGTGCACCGTTTTGAAATGCCGCTCTAAATTACCCTTCTTCGATAAAGTCACGCTCGCATTGCAGATGAGACAGATGGACTTTGAATTGGAATAGATACAAGAATAATCATCCTCCCGCTCGGAGTGAAAATTATATATTTTGGGCTTTTTTTGCTTTTGCCATAATTGCGATCTTGTGTGTGCGGACTGTCACTCCTGTTGCCACGGACAACGTCAGCTAACTGCCCACTGCCCACCAGCCACGCCCCGACACATGGGGTCACGCCAATCACAAAGCTTTGATGCGTTCAAGTGCATTATTCTGGCACAGGAAGATTATGTTACAGGACATTAACGATAAAACTGAATATTGTTGTTCTATTTTTAGACACATGTCGTGATCGACTGGGAATCTGGTCTATACTAAAGGGTAATAGAGGCAAATCAGATAGGATGTAAGCAGTTAAAAGACCCAAAAGTCCCGTTAAAGTCTCTTTTGACGTTACGTAATGATGAAGACACGTTACTGCTTCAGTTTCAAAAGAGTGACATTACCAAACAAAGGTCTCTAATAAAGGGTCATTTGAAGGTGTTACAAGAACAATTGTTTCCCAACCGCTGATAAAGTCACTCAAAGAGGCACATCTAATCTAATCTAAGCCGTTAAAAGACCCAAAAGTCCCGTTAAAGTCTCTTTTAACATTACGTATTGATGAGTGAATGATCCAGATTTTCAGCTGCGAGTAAGATCTTCATTTATTTCATGGCAGCAGTTCGGAGTGGACGCCTTTTTGGCATCGCAGCACACACTGATGAGCCGAGCAACCCTCCGAGCACGGAGATTCCCTGAAAATCTGTCGGAAACGATGACATCAATTTAGTTTGTTTTGCCATTTGGGAGCTCGTGTTGCACGTTCGTTGGATCTGTGGGGACAAAATGTTGCGTAAGAAACCCTCAGAGGAGAGAAAAAGAATCTCTTGAATGGAAAGACATTGAAGACATTTTGATAGATAGATAAAGGGTTTCTTATTTCTGTAATTACATGATTGTGTTTTTGTGTTTCAGTGGAGTCAACTGGAGGGACTTCCAGCAAACCAGACGCTTCAGATTCAGTCAGTAAGTCCTTTTTGTTCCTTTAATTTGACGTGTGGGTTTCACTCACATCGCTAAGATAATGAGTCACAAACGTTCGACTTTTCCACATATTGTTCTCGAACGTTTTTCCTCGCTGCTGGTCGGCGTCCATCATCGTGAGCTCAGAATCGAAAGGAGTTCTCTTTCAACACAACCCCCTATTGTATAGCGAGAATCAAAATTAGGCCCCCATAAATCTCTAAAGTATTCGGTCATGGTGTTGGTCCTCTGCTGGGAGAAGTGGAAACCATTACAGAGGCTGATTTACAAGAGAACTGCTACTGCCCTGCACATGATGACAAGCTTTTGCTGGTTTTTCACTAGGGGAAAGAAACTCCCAGAAAGAAGAGAGAGAGAGTCCTGTACCTAAAGCGGTACATTTAGATTCAACTTCAGAAGAACTATGTGCTTTACAAAAACACTCAAACACTCATCTGGAGCAATGAAGAGCTTGTATATAATAACTCCTACTGTACGTCAATTTTAAGGAGCTAAGTTTAATCAAAGTCTGTATCAAATGCTGTCAAAGCGACCAAATGCCTAATAAAATGTAACTATAAGCCTTCATATGATTTAAACCGGTGAGATATATGAACATTCACCCCCTGTATCATTGGCATTTAAGGGGAAATGTGATGTAGTGATCCTAACCGTTTGTTGTAATAATTCTGTGATTAGTGTCAGCATTTTAATATTGAGCACTATGGGGATTGATTAGCCTTTGGAGAAAGCCTCAAGTGGCCGTTTGAGGAACTGCAGTTTTTCGCACTTCCACATTGCCTTCCTTTTTAACCCTGGAGGTTTTTCCGCTTGGCTTTAACACTACTTTCTATATGACCATAGACGTCAATTATACAAATCCCTTAGGTGCTGTTGTGATAACATTGTTAGTGTGAAGATCAGGTTAAGAACTACAGGTGTAAAGGAACGTTGTCATCATAATACAAACAAGTATTTTGTACCTTGCCAAAGATGCGACGTGATGGTCTTTTTGGGGGCATTAGGAGGTTAAGGGTTCTGTATTTTTTCACACATTTATTTGAGATTTAACATTAAATGACATTTTTCTTTAGGGTGAATTAAAAAATCTGTCCAGGGACTACAGATGATAAATAGTCTCTTTGCTACCTCTGGCTCATTTACAGAAATGTTGATTAAAGTGCACTGTCCCTGTTAAATAAAGGAATCAAAAACAATTACCAGAACAACAGCGATGAAATTGACATCTCTCTGGATCATTGCAAACTTCAAACATTTATCCTTAAGTGGCTTGAAATATAACTTGTGAAATGTCCTTTAATTTAACCGTATTCCTTCTTCTCTTGATATTTATTACCCTTTCCACCCTCACTTTATTTCCCAGAATGCTCTTTGGGTGCCATCGCTGACGTGGTTTTCTTGGTGGACGGATCCTGGAGCGTCGGCCGGCCGAACTTCAAATTCATCCAAAAGTTTATCTCGGTGGCGGCCGGAGCGTTTCAGATCGGAGCGGAGCGGACGCGGGTCGGCGTGGTCCAGTTCAGCTCCGGATCCAGAACTGAGTTCAACCTGAAGACACATCTGACCCGACCCACGCTGCTGAGGGCCATCGCAGCGCTGGAGTACAAGGGAGGGAACACCAGGACAGGTACAGGATTTCTTCAAATCAACAGAGGGCAAAAGTACACACATCCTTTACTCAAGTAGAAGTACAGATACTCGTGTTTAAAAATACTCTGGTGAAAGTAGAAGTACTGACTAAACTTCTTTACTCAAGTCAAAGTAAAGAGGCTTTGAAATGTACTTCAGTAAAAAGTACCCATAACTAGCAGCTGTTTTAAAGAGTACCTGACCTCCCTTTATATTAATAGAACAATAATGTCATTGTTAGCTAATGAATGTTTCCATGGTGACCAACGGCAACATGACAACGTTTCCATTGGTCCCTCTTCTTTAGAGAAGACCAGGAAATGATGGATACACGGGTCGTGTTCAA